TATCGAGTGAGTTTTGAGCATTTTCTGTAATTCGTATAGAATTCTCAACACATTGAAATCAAATCAGTTAAAATTCCCTTGACAGATGTGTTGCACTGAGATATTAGAGAATTCATGTGAAGTTGAGCTACTAATAGCCAAGGTAACTGTTTTCACAGGTTTTCGGCGTTTATTTTGTAATAACACAGTTTTATATTAACGAATCACAAAGTATTCATATCATACAAACACAAAAGGGAGGAGATCCTCCAAGTGAGATATACGAAAGTTATATTTCATTATCCGAATCGATAGTGCATGATATCCGTGTATATCTTATACATATACAGCTAACGTACAGATCTAAAGGTTGAATTTATATATCACTTTCGTGTCCCTCACGAATCGCTCCATCGCGACAAACTGTTTTCGCAGGTGTTGGCTCGATGTTGAAGCAGTGAACGTCATCATAAATCTAAATTGGATGACTAGTCGAGTAAATCAAAGTGATCTACGCAGCAAATTTCTGTACTTGCTCTAGTCTACGTCAACACTATCATCTTCCACCAAAATACTTGACTCGAAATTAGATCAGCCACGGAAGTGACCTGAACATCTTGCAGACCAGCCATTATTCGGCAACCCGTCAACCGACACGGCACAATTGAGCGAAACGAATATTGGAGCGGTGCCTTTCACGAATTTTCCGTCTTTCACACCGAATACGTTCGCAGCAATGGGGCAACCTCAAACTCCAGAATACGGTATCTTCAAGTCAATGTTTACCGTACCACCCAACAACTCTCCTAGCCAATCGCCAGCGACCTTCGACGGTTCACATGCATACAGTAACAGCTTTATGCCGCAGCCAGATTCGTCACCGTGCATGAATTCTGGATGTTATACACTCCCATCAGGGGTAATTTTCTTTTTGGGAATTTTTTCGATAAATTTCCATGGATTAAGATGGAAATCTATTCGTAAGTTGAAAAATTTCACTCATTTTGACCAGATTCTTCCGATCAAATACTATTCAAATGGTGATCAATTGTCATTTAGCGATCAGTCTCGTTGACTTGTTCTAGATATACAAATACCTCAAGAAGCTCTGTGAGGAAAATCATTACCCGTTAAGAAAATCATTAGGACAATAATAATTTGATGCCATTTTTCAAATGTTTTGCAGATGTCAT